ATGTTTATACTTAATTCTTTTTAAATGTTTTTCCAACAAATCTTTTTATTTCTTTGTGCTGCATGCTTGTGCCTCAGTTTAGCTAAAAGTTTAAAGTTTAGTTTAAAACAAAGGCAAGGAGGAAAACATTAGCTGTGTATTTATTTTAACTAAACTTTAAGCTAAAGTGCAGCAGAACAAACATGAAACACATAGAAATAAAAAGACTTGTTCAACAAAATGATAAAAATAATTCAATTTAAGCATTCAAGAGACACAAATACACATACAAGTAAAATGAAAAACTATGTAAAATACATATTAAAAAAACATTAAAATTTATTGGAACTAAGCTGGAAAAATAAATATGAAGATCAATTAAAGGTAACTTTCTCCTTTTTAATTTATTTGGTGCGTTTTAAATGTATTTATTTATTTAAAGGTTAATTGATCTATTTCTGTTTTTTTTTCTAATTATGTCAGTGTTGGTCCTCCGTACTGCAGAACATGAAGAGGTAGTTCAGGGACTGAGTCAGGTGTGTTGGAGCAGGAAACATGCTGCGGACCTCCAGGACCAGGATGGACCACCCCTGTTCTAACTGAAGAAAGCTAACTGACTGACTGCACTGTTACTTAACTAAAGTTAGTGTATTTATGGACTCTGTTTTAATATGTCAATCCAACAATCAGATGTTTCATGAACACAGGATAGTACTTGTGGATAGTACTTGTGGATAGTACTTGTGGATAGTACTTGTGGATAGTACTTGATAGTACTTGTGATTTGTTAGACTGGCATGCAGAAGTATTTATCCTTGGCATTTAGTACTTGGTGTTTATTCTTTGTTGTTGCCTCACAACCTGGAATTTGATTGGATTATTAATTTGATTAAAGGRAAAAATTCTCACAGTTTATGACGTTAATGAGGAAAATTACAATTTCAATTATTCTAAAATTTTAAATGTGAAAAATCGTCCATTCAGTCCTCACAACACATTTAGGTGTTCAGGTTTGTCTCAATGATCCTGGTCCACCTAATGACCAATCAGGTCCCTCTCCTTCAGAGGGCTGCTTGTGTCCAACAGGCTTTAAATCAAACCTGACATACTGCTGGGTTAAGGTCTGGGCTTTTACTTGACCTTTCCAGGACGTTTGCCTGTTCTTATTAAACCAGTGGAGTGTTGCTTTCTGAGTGGATTTAGGCTTATTGTCCTGATGGAAGGTCAATCTTATTCCTGCAAGAATATCGAACTTTTACRCTCAAATCTTCCTCATTAAATTCCTTACTGATGGAAACCATAGCCACAGTTTTATACTACCACCACCGTGCTTCACTACAGAGACGCAGTCATGATGAGAGATATTAGGTCTGCCTCAGATGTGCTGTTGGCTTCATCTGACCAGATCATATTCTTCCACCTGTTTGGTGAAAAAATTCCAGATTAATTAAAGATTTATTTTCTTTAAGCCCAGCTCTGAACCCTTTAGTGATCCTGTGAACAGACCAACCTTTGCAGAAAATCTGTCCAGATGCATCTTATCTTCTCCTCTTACCTGCTTTGTGAGATCTGATGGACGATCCTGTTGTGTTGGCAGAATCTTTACATTTCCTCATAATAGATTTAATAGTTGAAGCTTTATGAATATTTTTATAATTGTTTTTTCCATCTGAACAGGTGGATAATTACTGAGATCTTTAGACTTAGATAGTTATGTAACTTCTGAAGTGAATGTTTGGGGCTTCAAAACTAAGAGGCTAAAGTCACATGTTCACACCACTTTGCAGTTTTAAATCATTTACAAGTTTTACCCTCATTTAATTTGTTAACCTGAGTTATTATTACTTTAATTAAATTAAAAATCCAAATAAAACTAACACTGTAAGGCAAGAAGAGGATAAATACATTTTGCAGCCAGTAGACACCCAGAGCAGCTAGTTCGTTATGTGCAATGAAAGCTGCTAACATTTTTTTTATTATAAACAGATGTACAAGTCACATGTTTTCATATTCAGTGAATTAAAGTGTCGTGCTCATCTCAGAACCATTAACTGAAATGATTCACTTTACGTCTCTGATCTGCTTCTAAGGCTTTCTGTAAATAAAAGCTGAGAATTGTAGTCTGTCGTTATTTAATCTGCCTTTTTTTTTTCATCTTCATGAGCTTTTAGTAACAATTCACAATTTAATTCAGTGTATTTATTTAGTGCCAAGTCATAACAAATGTCATCTCAGGGCTCTGAACAACAGAAAACAATCTAAGGAAGTCAGCAGATTGTGTTGAATCACTTCATCACAGTCTCCCATCCTGAGCAA